ATACATATAGGTAGTATTCTCTCTGCCTCAAATTGGGCTGTTGGATCGTTTTTCTTAATCTCGATGGGATCATGGTTTGCCAAGGCGACAGTTTTATTCTGTTTCAAATATATGAATATACACAGAGCTGATTGAATAATCTCTTGATAGGGAGTATTGCAGGAGAAAACGGAGACTGCAACATGAAAGCATGTTGGTTGTTGTACAGAAATTAAACGAACTGAAGAGGAAAAAGACACAGGAAAAAGCAGCTGAAAATGCAGAGAAAATTGATTCTGTTACAACATAATGAAACTTGAAAGGAAATTAATGAAAGTTCTTGTCAGTTTCAAAAATAAATTTTAACTATCTAAATGAGAAACGCCGTAATCATAAGTAATATAGTAAATACAAAGAATTGTTACAAAATATTTTTAGTATATATGAATGTTGCTAAAAGAAAACCCGAAAATTTAAATATGACATATATTTAAATTTTCGGGTTTTCTTTTAGCGACACTCATAGTATAGTATATTTATTTATTAAAAATATAATTTTTTTTTTTTTTACTTTGGCAATCTTGCCAATGATTTTTTATTCTAGATTAATTTGTATGGTATTACAAATTGTTGAGCTAAACATGTTTAGGCCTGACATCTTATAGTTACTTCTATAAGCACTTTCAAGTGGCCTACTATACCAGGCTAATCACAAATTTGAAAAGCATATTTGGTCATCACTTTACAATAAAATATTATTAATCTGATAATATTTTTTCATAGAGAAGAAAAAAAACTATATAAAAAACAAAAAGAGAGGTATATAAAAAAACAAAAAATTAATTATAGTAACTCTCTCTAACAATCACTTGAATCAAATTTTTATCAAATATAAGACAAAGAGTTGAAGTCTGGAGTTCTAGTAAACTTCTATCTCTGGTAACAGAGTGTTGTTAATGAAGATTACAGATATGATATACTGAGATGCAGGCAGCTGTAGTTGGTTTTTGAAGGGGTCAAGCTTGTTTCTGATAAACTTTCTTTACATATTCAGCACTCAAATCAAAAAAATATTTTGGAAACACTATAGCAGTAGAATTTATGTTTGAAAAAAAGAAAATATTAAAGGATAAAATGAATAGATTGAAAAAGCATTCTCTAAATTTAAAACCTTACAAAACTATATTATCTTTGGGCTGTTTCTTTTTTTTCATAATTTTTGACAAAAAGTAAAGAATTTGATTACCTCTTCCAAAAGATCAGCAAAGGATTGGTATTGTTTACTACTTCTATTCTTGAAAAGTCTCAAGTTGTGATATAATAAATAAGAAAATCATATAAAAAAAAAAGTTTGAGGCTAAAATTAAAACTAATATTACATGTCAAGATTTTAAAATTAGTTGTTTTAGAACCCAAGTTAGATTTAATATAAGAGTTGGCAACTAGAGCAATAATATAAAATATGTAATATTCTAAAGTTATAAGTATATAATTTTTAACCCTTTATACAAGTTAAAGTATATTTTAGTTTCTTTTATCAAATAGCTCTATATATAGATTTTTATAATCATATAGATAGTTTTTATTTGATTAAAGATTTTTATATTTGTAGACAAGTTCTCTTAGATTTTAAATTAGTCTTTTAAATTCTTTTATAATTTAGTCATTTTCATTATATATTTATTTTTATTTTTTTTTTGCTCTATACTTACTTTTTTTTCTTTTTTACTTTTCTATCAGATTGGTAATACTCTATTATAGAACAGTGATTTTGACAAGGTTAGTAAGAACTATTTGTTGATATCTGGAGTTCACATTCTCAAAAAGTTGAGAATTTTGAAAAGAAAAAAATGTTCACTTAGGTAAATCATTTCTGGATTATAATTTTGGTTTATTATAATTTTGCTATGATAACAAAACAGATCAAGAGATTTTTTATTTGTATAAGCATATAGCATTTTGATAGATAATGTAGATTTAGCTCCCTAAGATATCTTGTTGTAAGTTGCTGTTGATTTAAAAAATAAAGAAAGGATCACTAAAATAAAAAAATAAAAAATACTATAAAAAATATAATTAAAAAAAAAAAAAAATACTAATTAAAAAAAATTAGATAGTTACAAGTATTTATTAGGTTTTTAAAAATTATATATAACTAAATATAGTAATTTTTATAGTTAATTATACAGTTTAATATATATAAATAGAATATATTTATAATTATCTCTTAAATTATAATACAGACAAATTGGCTTGTATTTTTTTTTTTAAACTCTATTTTTTAATAAAATCTTAAAGGGCGTTAGTTTATGGTGACCCGTCACCATGGCGACCCGTCGCCATGGCGACCTGTGATCGACCAATCAAAATCGATCATGTGAATTGCGTAACTTTTATTAAAAATTTAAATTTTTTATTTAAAAAAAAAAAAAAAATACAAAAAAAAAGCTAATTACAAACGAATGCTGTTGCATAACTAAAATTTATTACGCTCATTTAAAAATCCACCTATCCACCTGCTAACCCGCTTCATTTAAAAAAAACTACACAATAAAACCATCGACGATGGCGAAAGTTCCTGCGACACAAAAGTCCGCCAACAAAAGTTTTAAAAAAACCAACGATTTCAAGATGACAACTCCAAAAAATGACGACTTCAAGACAACGACTTCAAGACGACGAACTCCAAAGAACAATGACTCCAAGACAACGACTCCAAAGAACGATGACTCCAAGACGACGACTCCAAAGAACGACAACTCCAAGACCGATGATTTCAAGATTGATTAGGGCCAAAAAAAAAGTGGGTTAGCAGGTGGATAGGTGGATTTTTAAATGAGCGTAATAAATTTTAGTTATGCAACAGCATTCGTTTGTAATTAGCTTTTTTTTTGTATTTTTTTTTTTTTTTTAAATAAAAAATTTAAATTTTTAATAAAAGTTACGCAATTCACATGATCGATTTTGATTGGTCGATCACAGGTCGCCATGGCGACGGGTCGCCATGGTGACGGGTCACCATAAACTAACGCCCTTTAAGATTTTATTAAAAAATAGAGTTTAAAAAAAAAAATACAAGCCAATTTGTCTGTATTATAATTTAAGAGATAATTATAAATATATTCTATTTATATATATTAAACTGTATAATTAACTATAAAAATTACTATATTTAGTTATATATAATTTTTAAAAACCTAATAAATACTTGTAACTATCTAATTTTTTTTAATTAGTATTTTTTTTTTTTTTTAATTATATTTTTTATAGTATTTTTTATTTTTTTATTTTAGTGATCCTTTCTTTATTTTTTAAATCAACAGCAACTTACAACAAGATATCTTAGGGAGCTAAATCTACATTATCTATCAAAATGCTATATGCTTATACAAATAAAAAATCTCTTGATCTGTTTTGTTATCATAGCAAAATTATAATAAACCAAAATTATAATCCAGAAATGATTTACCTAAGTGAACATTTTTTTCTTTTCAAAATTCTCAACTTTTTGAGAATGTGAACTCCAGATATCAACAAATAGTTCTTACTAACCTTGTCAAAATCACTGTTCTATAATAGAGTATTACCAATCTGATAGAAAAGTAAAAAAGAAAAAAAAGTAAGTATAGAGCAAAAAAAAAATAAAAATAAATATATAATGAAAATGACTAAATTATAAAAGAATTTAAAAGACTAATTTAAAATCTAAGAGAACTTGTCTACAAATATAAAAATCTTTAATCAAATAAAAACTATCTATATGATTATAAAAATCTATATATAGAGCTATTTGATAAAAGAAACTAAAATATACTTTAACTTGTATAAAGGGTTAAAAATTATATACTTATAACTTTAGAATATTACATATTTTATATTATTGCTCTAGTTGCCAACTCTTATATTAAATCTAACTTGGGTTCTAAAACAACTAATTTTAAAATCTTGACATGTAATATTAGTTTTAATTTTAGCCTCAAACTTTTTTTTTTATATGATTTTCTTATTTATTATATCACAACTTGAGACTTTTCAAGAATAGAAGTAGTAAACAATACCAATCCTTTGCTGATCTTTTGGAAGAGGTAATCAAATTCTTTACTTTTTGTCAAAAATTATGAAAAAAAAGAAACAGCCCAAAGATAATATAGTTTTGTAAGGTTTTAAATTTAGAGAATGCTTTTTCAATCTATTCATTTTATCCTTTAATATTTTCTTTTTTTCAAACATAAATTCTACTGCTATAGTGTTTCCAAAATATTTTTTTGATTTGAGTGCTGAATATGTAAAGAAAGTTTATCAGAAACAAGCTTGACCCCTTCAAAAACCAACTACAGCTGCCTGCATCTCAGTATATCATATCTGTAATCTTCATTAACAACACTCTGTTACCAGAGATAGAAGTTTACTAGAACTCCAGACTTCAACTCTTTGTCTTATATTTGATAAAAATTTGATTCAAGTGATTGTTAGAGAGAGTTACTATAATTAATTTTTTGTTTTTTTATATACCTCTCTTTTTGTTTTTTATATAGTTTTTTTTCTTCTCTATGAAAAAATATTATCAGATTAATAATATTTTATTGTAAAGTGATGACCAAATATGCTTTTCAAATTTGTGATTAGCCTGGTATAGTAGGCCACTTGAAAGTGCTTATAGAAGTAACTATAAGATGTCAGGCCTAAACATGTTTAGCTCAACAATTTGTAATACCATACAAATTAATCTAGAATAAAAAATCATTGGCAAGATTGCCAAAGTAAAAAAAAAAAAAATTATATTTTTAATAAATAAATATACTATACTATGAGTGTCGCTAAAAGAAAACCCGAAAATTTAAATATATGTCATATTTAAATTTTCGGGTTTTCTTTTAGCAACATTCATATATACTAAAAATATTTTGTAACAATTCTTTGTATTTACTATATTACTTATGATTACGGCGTTTCTCATTTAGATAGTTAAAATTTATTTTTGAAACTGACAAGAACTTTCATTAATTTCCTTTCAAGTTTCATTATGTTGTAACAGAATCAATTTTCTCTGCATTTTCAGCTGCTTTTTCCTGTGTCTTTTTCCTCTTCAGTTCGTTTAATTTCTGTACAACAACCAACATGCTTTCATGTTGCAGTCTCCGTTTTCTCCTGCAATACTCCCTATCAAGAGATTATTCAATCAGCTCTGTGTATATTCATATATTTGAAACAGAATAAAACTGTCGCCTTGGCAAACCATGATCCCATCGAGATTAAGAAAAACGATCCAACAGCCCAATTTGAGGCAGAGAGAATACTACCTATATGTATAAAATAGTTCCTTGTTTTTATGCACTAACAAGATGCTTTATTTAACGGTTTTCTCAAATAACAAATGGGCAAGTACACAGCAAAAAAAAAGGCTTAAACCCGATTTTTTATGTAAACAATATGTATCAATGTGCCAATGTGTAATCATTTAATTCTATATATTACCATTTTTAACTACGTAAAAACTGAATCAAAAAAAAATTTTTTACCGCGCAATTCCTTTTTGCTGTGTACTCACTCAAATAATATTTAAATTCGCGCTAACCTTTCAGCATATATCGCAGCGCTCCGATTGTGGCACCACCACCGATTCCATTTAGGAGACTACCACGGAAACACGCCATTTTACCAACATTTTTGAAATCATCTATGCTTAGATTCTACAATGAAGCGGGTTGACAAAAAAAAAAAAAAACAGAAATAGGTCGAAGTATCCAAATTTTAATACTGTATTTGTGCGAAATAACACCTGAGGTGTTATTTCGAAGCATATTTCTAGAGAGCTAAGAATTAATTTCGGCGAAGATTTTTAAAAAATAAAATTATTGTTTGTATTCGTCAAAAGGTAATAGCTCTCTGGAAATTGTCTTTATTTCACGCAAATACGGTATTACCTTTAGAATTTAAATGAGCATTGGATTAGCGGACCTTCATGATTTCCGCAAAATCACTCGGCTGTGGTTTTCGTATTTTTTCTGTTTGTATATAGTCCGATGTTTGCATTTCTGATTCTGAAGATTTCGTGTCATCTTTATCCATTTGCATAATATAATCTACCAAGCCAACAAAGTAATCATCGTTATCAATTTGTCTGAGTGATACAAAGAATAAAATGCTGATTGGCTGATCTAATCATACATAAATTCTGCAGTTAGGTAATTAAGATTTCATTACTCAGTAATTGTGTTAGTAACATGTCAGAGACAAAATCCTCGAATTATCGTTCATTCAAAGATAAGGACAAACCTGTTGAAGTTCGGCTCAGTAACATCATAGCTGCTAAAGGTACTGCTATGTGTGTCTATTTTTTAAACTTCAAAAATATTGGGCAGAAACGCCCGAAAACTTTAGATCGTTAAATTAAGTCATTTAGATTACCGATTCGTTATTGACGCGTGTTATATTAAAGTCAACTCCTCTGAGTGCATTTTGGCAGATTTATATAGAAAAGTTTGCCGAAAATTGCACTTGGAGAAATTTGCACTTGAAATAAGATTCCTATAAACTTGGACGAAAAACAAAAGCAATGTTTATTGTGACTAAATAGAAGATCCGCACTTGGAATCTCGCATTTTGAGAATATCCATTGTGCTGTTGTTTTTGAAAAATAGTTCTTAGATCGCTTCTTATTATATTACATGTACTTGTTTTTCCTATCCAGCGGTTGGCGATGCAATCCGGACTTCTCTTGGCCCTAAGGGCATGGATAAAATGGTGAGTTGCTATCAAATTTGCATTTATTTTTGTAAATCGTACAATTATGCGATTCTGTTTATATTGCCCCCCCTTTTTTTGGACGCAATTCAATAAATAGGCTGAAATTTAACTTTCGATTTCAAACGCGTAATTTCTTTAAGACAAAAGGAAATGTTTTTAGCTATTTAATAAAGTCATCTTCCACAATATAGATCCAAACTGGTAGCGGTGAAGTTGTAATTACAAATGATGGTGCCACTATTTTGAAGCATATGTCCGTCTTACACCCCGCTGCTAAAATGGTGATCCTTCATTCAATATATATATCAAATAATACATAATGGATCTATATTAATAAAGTGACTGGTTTACAGCTGGTTGATCTATCCGCCGCACAAGATGTTGAAGCCGGTGACGGAACCACGTCTGTTGTTGTGATTGCCAGCGCACTTTTGGGTGCTGCCGAAAAAATGCTTGCAAAAGGTAATTTTAAATCTTATCAATTTTCTATATTTAAGTATATTTAAGTGAAACAATCCTGCTAATTATTTCATTTATGTAGGTGTACATCCTACGACAATCGCCGAAGCATTTCAACGTGCTGCAATAAAGTCTACTGAATTTCTTACAGAAATGTCCACTGAAATTATTCTATCAGATAAAGATTCTTTACTAAAAGCTGCTACTACCTCCTTAAATTCAAAGATTGTTTCCCAATACTCCAGCCTTCTAGCTCCAATCGCCGTTGATGCTGTGTTACGTGTAATTGATCCGGCAACCGCAACGAATGTGGACCTTAAAGATATCCGTATAGTAAAAAAAGTTGGTGGCACTATCGATGATACTGAACTTGTTGATGGCCTTGTTTTGACTCAAAATGTAATCAAGAGTTCTGGTGGTCCATCTCGTATTGAAAAAGCGAAAATTGGTCTCATTCAATTTCAATTGTCTCCTCCAAAGCCGGATGTAAGCTTTTATTTTGTAAAACTTTTCTACATTTTAATTAATCTAATCATTTAATTTTGTTTTAAATTAACAGATGGAAAATCAGATTATTGTTAACGATTATAGACTTATGGATAAAATTTTGAAGGAAGAACGACAATACCTCCTTAATATGTGCAAAAAAATAAAGAAAACTGGTTGCAATGTATTGTTGATTCAAAAATCAATTCTTCGAGACGCGGTTAATGACTTATCACTTCATTTCTTGTCGAAATTGAAAATATTAGTGGTTAAAGATATAGAGAGAGATGAAATAGAATTTATTTGCAAGGTTATCATCATACCTTTGCATAAGAAATTTCTATTGTATCAATGTTAATTTATATTTAACCTTCTAGAGTACTGGCTGTAAACCAATTGCGGATATCGAGTCTTTTAGTGAAGATAGGCTTGGTTCCGCCGAACTCGTTGATGAGGTTCAAACTTCCGGAGCACGAGTCGTAAAAATTACCGGCGTTAAGCATGTCGGAAAAACTGTGTCTATTTTATGTCGCGGTGCCAATTCCCTTGTGCTAGAAGAAGCTGAACGTTCATTTCATGACGCTCTATGTGTTGTCCGCTGTCTTGTAAAAAAGAAGTACGGATACTGGTTAAAGTTTTTAATCTATTGTAATGTTTTGTTAACAATTATATTACATTATTTCGGTTAGAGCTTTAATAGCTGGTGGCGGTGCACCAGAAGTTGAAGTATCACAACGTTTAGCTGAGTGTGCTAAATCGTTAAAGGGAATGGAGGCACAATGTTTCGAAGCTTTTGCAAATGCTCTTGAAATCATCCCTATAACACTTGCTGAAAACGCAGGACTAAACCCGATTAATATTGTTACCGAACTACGAAATAGACATGCTTTAGGCGAGAAAACTGCTGGAATTAACGTTCGAAAGGTATTTATATATTTTAGAATAGCCATTCCATATTGATGTTTATTTGTGATAAGTTAATAAACTTTGCATCAAACATAATTAGGGGTCTATCACAAATATTCTTGAAGAAAACGTTATACAGCCTTTACTTGTTTCAACAAGTGCTATAGAATTATCAGCTGAGACAGTAAAGATGTTATTAAAGATTGATGATCTGGTAATTTATAAAAAATTTCTTTCTATAAATTTGGTTATTAAAATTATATTTTAATATCAACTTGTTACATTGATATTTAAAGGTTGCAACTCGATAAACAACTAGGGATGGTAAAGCTAGTTTAGGTTTGGTCTAAGTTCTAAAACCTTTAGATTCCAAATTTAAAATCCAAGAATCATGTTTTTATATAGTAAGTTCCAAGCATAAATTAAATCTGGTTTGGTTTAGAACCAAATTATAAAATCTGGTTCTCAATATTTTGTAAGACAAAAAATAAAAATATATTAATAAGAAGTTAATTCATATCAAACTTTTAGAATATATATTTTTTGACCTAAATAGCTTTATTTAACATGCTAATACAGTCAAACCTTCCCAAGTACGTTTCTCCGAGACCAGCCCTAAACATGCAGTTAGAGAGGATATGCATATCTGATATAAAGAATCACAGATTAGCCAATCAGCTTTCATACACAAGTTACTCGTTATAATGATATAAAAACCCTTTCAATATAGTGAATTTACTAATAGACTCGGTATAGTGAAAAAAATTTCACAGCCCGATCACTTCACTATAACGAGTGACTTGTATATAATTAACCAATCAGAATATATAAAAGAAATTTTTTTATAATTTCTACATATTAGGTCATACTAGTTAATTTTTTGATTCTCATAACATAAAATTTGAAAAATGACCCGGCAACCCGGCTTTTAATTTTATTTTCAAAAAATTTATATATATAAAAAGCATATAAAAACTTCAAAAACTTCACCCGGATAATAAATATAGTCAAAATTTTTTTACCACTTTAGTAGGGTTTATATTTTTAACTTAGGACCCCAAATTTCAGCATCATCCCTGACAATAAATAAAGGCTATAGGTAAGAATTTTGCGAAATTTGACCCGGCCGGGTTATGAGAACCAATTTATTAAGTTTGTATGGCCTTAAAGTCAAAATTTTATTAAGCTATGCGATATTGGTACTTATAGGTTGTTCGCAAGGATTTGTTTATACTCCGAAAATTTCATAATCTTTTATGAATATATTTTCAGGATTTACATTTGGGCGAAAAAATTTAAATTTTTTTTTGTTCAAACGTAAAACCCGAAAATAAATTAATAAAAGTTATGAAATTTTTAGGATGTATAAAAACAAATCCTTGCAATCAATTTAAAGCGTTAATGATGCTTAACAAATTTTGACTTTAACATGTTGCAACCATTATTTATTTAATAAAAATTTTGTATTTATTTTAGTTACAAAAAAGTTGAATCAAATATAGTATAGGTTTTTTTTATTAAAATCTTTAAAAATATTTCAATTTACTAATACTAATTAAAATATTAATTATAATATATATACTATATAAAATAGTTGATTTTAGTATTTTTTTAAAAGAAAATAAAATTATAAAATTTGATTAAGTAGATATATATTAATTTTTTATTTAAATTTTTAAAAATCTTTTATTATCATATTATTTAATTATTTTAATTTATTAAATTTTTTACTTTTATAGTATTTTTACTTAATTATATATATAGGTTTTATTATTACTATTAAAACTTATATATGTAACCTTTGTTAATATCAATCTATATTCAAAATTCATCAAACTCTTTTCAATGATTTCTGGCAACAACAACCAAAAAATTAAACTACAGAAAAATGTTATAGAAGACATTGAAGTAAATAATAAACTTTTTTTTTTTTTTGGTGTTAAGGTGGCCTCTTGGCCGGCTCCTTTTATTCGGTTATAATTAACTTTTACAATATGC